TTCTATCCATCTAATTGGAGCTGTTGGGAGACCGAATCCCCTGAGCTTTATTAGTAGGAGCCGGTGATTTACCGAGTCGAAAGCTTTCCTGAAGTCCAGGTAGCACACTTAGACTTTCTGACCTCCATCTAACCTCCTTGTAACTTCGTCTAAGAAACAAAGAACGTTGCTCAAACATGAACTCCGTTTGAGAAAGCCGTGCTGGGCAGGGCTACTCAACCTATGTTGAGTAAGGTGCTCACAGAGAGCATTCCTAACAATGGTTTCTAAGCCCTTACATATCACTCTGGTCAAACTTACGAGTATGTGGTTACCAGGTTGCTTCCTATCTCCACTCTTGTGGATGGCTACCACTGCGATAGTCGCCCAACCAATAGGTACTCTCCCAGCCCTTAGGGACTCCTGGTAGAGTGCGGTTATCGCAGGGGCGAGCTGGGCGGCTGGGTGTAGTCCGTCGCCGCCAGCAGACTTGAATACATTCAAGCTCTCCAGGACATCAAGAACACTACTAGCTGAGACTTACACGTCGCCCATTGCAGGGGTGTCTAAACACTCTCGTGGGACCACACACCCGTCGTCTATTTTATAGACGTTTTCAAAATACCTCCTGAGCCTTTCATTTTTCTCGTAATCTGAAACAGACAGCCCTCCTCCGGGGTTCTCCAAAGTGCCTACCGATTGTCTCAGTGCAGTCTTTGATTGCACGTAGCTATAGTACCTCTTGGTTTCCTGGCGCGCACTATTGGCGATTTTAACCTCGAGGGTCATTTTCGCCTCTCTTACTAGCTTGTTTGCTTATTTTCTCGCCTTCTTATATTGGAGCCATCGATCATGCCCTCCTGTGAGAGCTAATGCTTCCACTTACGAGCCCCTTCCCCTATGGCACGTTTAATGGCCGGCTTCCACCATTGCGGTTTGTGGGTATCACCGCGAGCCTGCAAGGGGGCATGCCTCTCCATCAGCTCTTATAGGTGGTCGCGGATTATCCCTCATCCGTGATCAACAGACGAATCTGTTCCCTGCGGGAACCATGTTCTGGCTTGAGCCTCTCCTCATGTCCTCTAAGTTCATTCGCCGGAAATTGCGGCACCACCTGCGGGGTGGTTTTTTTCTTTTGCAAGGCATGTTTCTAGTAACAGTACAACGTGATCGCTTTTACCGAGAGGAATCTCCTGTCTTAGGTCGCTGATCTCACTCTCGTGCCACGTGAAGACCAGATCTAAGGCAGAACAATAATAATTATACTAATAGTATATTCCACGAGGCCCGTGAAGCATGCTAGTGCGCATGGTCCTTGCTCTAGCCAGATACGCCTTGGTTCTCTCACGTTGTAACAGCAATCCGAACAACGTTCAATACGAATCACAATGTCTCGACTTCGACCGACCAAATTTCCAGCATGTAGGAAAACAGTTGAACGACAGTTGAAATTTCGTTTCCATTATAGACATATATCAATATTAATTTGTGACTTACGAAACCGTCGTTGGTCCCAGTTACAGAACGACGACGAACAGAGCAAATCACGGAGCGAGACCACAAAGATACCGAACGGGTAATGAGGAGGCCGATTAAAACAACTGTTAAACGTTGAGTTAATAAAAGAGAGATAAGAGAGAAGAAAAGGAAGATAATGGAATTAGAAAAGCAGTGTGTACAAACGTTGTTGAGAACCGTCACACTGCCCGCCGATCGCACAGCAATTTCTTGTCATTTCTACATAGATTTCAAACGGAATTTCTCCAATTGACACTTGAATAATTGATTTTGAGTACCGCGTGGCGTCATTTATTTTGTAGACGCGGATGGGATAGTTGCTATTACATCATTGTTCAAATGCCTGTCTCATGTAGAGTAGATGTTTAGACCATCAAGTCTGATGATGGTACCGGAGACCGGGGGAGAATACGGCGGTTTGAGTAAAATCCACCCAAGTAGGTTGAATGCTCCGACTGGCCGGAGTTTAGAGGATTCGAGCATCGTCGCTCGTCAAACGTGGACGATTTAAATCAGATAGCTTATCGCGGTATGAAAATCGATTAGCATATTTATCGACGAAGCTGGGTTTTTGCGAACATGGGGTTTTCTTTTTCCTTTTTTTGTAGAGGGCTAGTCAAGCCGCCGGTGACCACAACATGCAGTCGTTGAAAGTAATCTTTGGCGATTGCAACTGTGGCGTTGATTGCAGCTAAGTACCGATTGGATGTCGATGAAGCACGATATTCTCCATCTCTTCTTGATACTGATACTGCAATTAAACTTTTCACGCAATTCGTATTCCCCTGGATTGACAGCAAACTTATGTCTAAGGCTAGGACTTATACACTCGTGGCAAATAAATTAGCCAAGAGTAAGCCATCAATCTGTGCAGCTAGCTTGTTACCCGGCGGTGTAGCTCCCAATCAGTGACGGTAAGAGTAATGGCAAAATTTAAGATGAAACAAAGCATAACACAAGAATAAATGGTCAATGACCGTAATTCGTAAGCAAACGTCTGAAAAAGAATGAAAAGAAGATTGCTCTAGGGTTTGGGTTCAGTTATTGTTTGATGGTAATTTAGTCTGAGCGACCAGAAAACGTTTCGACTCCGTGAGGTTTCACATGCAGATTTTGCAAGCTGGTATTTTGAATGTCGTCAATCAAGTTGAAATAGCTTGAGTGCCAATGAATCTAAATGTTCACTAGCCGATATATCCAATTGTGGCCCATTTCGCTCCGAGTTATTTATTTTCAAATTAACCACTGCTGATTGCATTCGTGAATTCGGTATTTTTGTTGAAGTGTTAAAGCATCAGAGTTGTTCTCAAAATGTTTCAGTCAACTTGGATAGCCAAACATTCAAGACTGTGTTTGTGTATTGTAATGTGGGTGATATTACAGAAAGTGTTCGTTTTGAAGTATCGAAGTTTTAGGAAGATAGACATAAACAAGATGGATATATTTTTGAGGAAAACAAAGAGTATAAAATTAGAGACCAAAGGTTCCATGATGAGGGCCAGTGATAAGAAAATAAATAGTTCCTCCCAATAAGCGGGAAAAGAGGAAGATGGCAAGTACAGTAGGCCAATAAAACGTATCATTTCCTGGAGTCAACCAAACATATGCTCACCATCAGGAACATTGTTAAGGAACCCTTCTAAAGGCAGATATTTCTGACATCTCTTCTGAATGATCCATTAGTGGTTTTTACCTCCACTTCTCTCACGATTCTATCCCTGCTCTTTCTGGTTTGTTGTATAAGGCCAAAAGACCACTCATTCCTGGGTTTGTTTTCCTTTACCATTAATACCAAAGTCCCTCTGTCTTATATACCACTTGGATTTGATTTATAGTAATGGCAAATATTCCCTAGTCCACCGCTTCCAGAAGCCATTTTCCATATCCTACACCTTACGCTATCTACGGTTACACGGTCTACTGTGCTTTTCATCTCAGAACTCGCACTGCACCTCCCTATAGCGAACAACATCTGTGGCGTGAATGCATTGCAAACTTGCGGATCGACGTTGTGCGGAACGAGTGATCGATTATTCGTTCTCTGTTCGGCCTCTACCAGGGCCGTGAGTAACACTTCGTTCGTCACCTGTTTCGCACTAAGGAGTGCCGTTAGTGTAAAGACCAAAACGCGATTGTCTTGGTCCGAAAAATCGAAAAAGACTTCGTCTGTATGCCTTCAATCAAATGACCCTTCGCTCCTTCTGGATAGCGATAAACAAATCTCAGAGCAACGCGTAGCCAAAATTATCGAGAATCAAGTCGATCCAAAAATAGCCTATGGTACTATTTTCGCATTATTCACAAATACATAAGGCAGTGATATCTCTGATAGTGAGCCTGATTCACTATCCAGCCAAAATGTTACAAATGTTCACAGAAAATATCTGCGGTAATAAAAGGTAAATAAGAATATGAGTGATTTGAATTACCTTTCAGATAATTCTGGACGAATAGGAAAATTCTGCACACTTCAACAGATCAAGCAAAATAATCTTGAGCGTTAAAGCCGAAAGGAGTTCAATATAACCGAAAGCAACCTTTAGTTCAACAACGAGCGTCCAATCGAAACTTTGGTCGCAATAAAACAAGAAAAAGCACTGAATCCCATTTACATATAAGAGCAAAGCACTTGAAGTGTGTGTCCAATAGATATGCTTCACCGTAAAAAAGGTGAAATAGAAGATTCAGAAGAGAATCCTCATCGACATGAAAACCACTGTCGGAAAGAATGCCCGATAGAATGGCGAAGAAAGATAAGGAAATTCAAGGTAATTGAGAGGAATTTTCAGTTTTTTTGACTGTTACACCGGCCACCAAACTTCCTCCAAGCGGACAATGTGTGGTGATTCGGATCTACGAGCTTACGCCTGCCCTGGAGCAGCGCGGTACAGTTTCCGTGGTAGTCAATCGACCTTGAGCGCTGACGCCAGTAGCACGTGCACAGCCTCCGGATACACATCATTGGTGGACCGTTCTAGCCAATCAGATACAATGCAGAGAAGAACAGCATGACGCAAGATGTGATGCAATATGATTGGTGGAAAATAAGGCAACCAATGATCTTCTTTTGTGCACATATATATTCACTTTCATTTCCTTCAATAAATGACTTTGTGATTCGCCTGTATTGTGGCCTTTTTCCTCGCGTCTCGATCCTGCGGGTTATTGCGAGTTCGAGCCATTGCGGTCTAGTGCCACCGGATTTCTAATGCGTGTTCCGTGATTCCTATTGCGTAGTTCGTGTCCTGAATTCTGTGCGTAATTTCACTACTACTACTTCTACGATCACCACACAATGTCACGTCAGATAGTCTCTTGTTTTGGCTCCCCCTTCTTACTACTTACTGCTCCTTTGTCGTTCCTGATTGAATTAACTGTGCGACGATACCTTCCACGCTTCGAGCCGCCGCAACCAACTGCTCAACAGGCCGCCAACATTCGTTAGGACAGAAAGTGGAAGCATTGGATGCACAGCTATCTTTTCTGCAACGGCTTCAACCCTGATGGCGTCCAATAATATGTACAGATTCGGGGACTTTGTATACTTCGAGCCCTCGGCAACTGCTCTGTTTCAAATCCGTCGAATCCGCGAACTGAATAAAACTCGCACCGGCGCTGTTGAGGCTAAGGTTGCTTGCTACTTTCGTCGACGAGACGTATGGATCGCACTGATCAATCAGGCTGAGAAATATTTTGTCAGTGACTATGATTCAGATGAAGATTGTTCGGATGCTAGTGGAAAGTCAACCGGTACACCTAATGGCTCCAACAAACGGTCGCACTTTGCAATATTCGAAGTGGATAAACATCAAATCAAGCATCGGGAGCTGTTCCTCTCACGTCATATCGAATGTTTACCGGCTACACACATACGTGACAAGTGCTCCGTCACCTTGTATAACGATTTCAAACCGCTGACCAATTACCTAAAACGGGAAGACGCATTCTATTACAAGCTGATATATGATCCCTCGTTAAAAACCCTGCAAGAAGACAGAGGATCTATGCGTATCAGATCGGATCATCAATCAGAAATCCAACCATTCCTCAAAGATTCCTCGACGGATAGCCGTTTGAACACTCATCTTGAAGAGTTGGTTTGGAAACCAGGATCCATGACTGACGAGGAAATCGATATGTTTTGTCTTCTTGTCAGAGCTGTGGGTACTCTTGGACGGGCCTACGATCCCAGCTCGGCAACCAGACAGCCTCTGTTACTAGGCGCGGCTACCGCAGCCGGACGTGATATTACCAAACAATACGCACATGATCCTTTGCATCGAGCGAACTATGATCTAAAAAAAGCCATATCACTATTGCTTCCAGGTAACCAACCGGTAATTTGCCGGGATCAACTTGAGGAATGGTCTCCTAGTGAAGCTCAACTTTTTGAGGAGGCTTTTGATAAGTATTCCAAGACATTCGCGGAAATTCAGACGGAATCTTTGCCCTGGAAAACACACAAGTCAGTGGTGGAGTTGTACTGTTTTTGGAAAACTACTGACCGGTACGTGAGACAGCGTTGCATGAAGTTGGCCGCTCAGGAACACAAACTAAAACAAGGGTACATACCAAATTATAGCAAACCAAATCCTGCTCTGCTCTACAATGGCTCCGACAAAGCCGGTCGTGGTTGCGAAGGCTGTTCCGCTACTTCTTCCTCGCAGTGGTACCACAGCGATGGGCTGAGGAGGCGGTGATAATTGGCCGTTTAGGGAGAGAGCCCAATTTCACCGAGTTGACGGAATTCATCCGAAATCGTGCCAAGGTCGCTAGCAGCCGTTTCGGACAACTGGCCAGTATGAGCAGGCGAGAAAGGAGACATCACGTTAATGAACGAACCTACGAGATCGCGAAAGGTTCTAGAAACGCAAATAGCTATGCAACCGTGGGG